ATGATTTTTAATTTTGTAACTTTATTTATCTATTAGATATAATAAATATAATTTTAGGGAAGGTTTTTATACGAAATTAGAAACCAAACAGACATAGTTGAGATTGAATACTAATTATATATACATCAATTATTGAGGCTTTTACAGTGAACATCAAGGAGAGATGTGGCGCTTGGGCAGCAATAAAAAATAACGTCAGAGAAGTACAATCAATAGCAACTCAATGTTCATTAAAATAAGAAAGAAAAACAATATTTTATTTATTTATTTTGTTTTACCATTCAGTAATATTATTTTTACTGTCAATTTTCACCCTACAAAATAATATTATTTGAGTAGGCAATGGAGGGAAAAGAATTAGAATGGTCACTTTCTGTGGGCTTTGCCGGAAGGGGGCGGGGTTCAAAATCATAGAGACACGAGCAACGAAATGGGACAGCCTGTCAAGCCGTTTTCAAACTTCATTTTTTAAATTTTATTTATTTCTTTATTTATTTATTTATTGAACTGTCACATTTAATATTATCCTTCCCTTCAACATCACTCCATCTGCCTCTCATTTATATATATTTAATTATTTAAATATTTGCAAATATTGCCATGCAAATTCATTCCCTAGAAATTATTATTATTATTATTTTTTTTTTTTTTAAAGACATAATATGAAGATGTGTGGGCATAAAGAAGGTAACACGGATGGTTCCATGACATTGGCGGTGACAGAATCGGTTCCTCTTGAATAAACAAGTGAAGAAGAAGAATAGAGCTCTCACTTTCTCGCGCCCCGAAGGCTTCCCCCCACACCCCCACCTGCTTCTCTCTGCTCCGATTCTAACACATACTTTGCGGAGAAGGAAGCTGAACAAAAGCGAAGGAACTTCAACGCCCAAGGGGAATGTGTAAATTTCCGCTCTCTGTGTTCTAAATTCCTTCTCTGAATCCCAATCTTACTGACAGAATTCACAGGCTCATGGGTGGGGTTACTTCGTCCATGGCTGCTAAACTCGCCTTCTTCCCTCCTAATCCACCCTCTTACAAGCTCGTCAAAGACCAACCCACTGGCCTTCTTCTCTTGGACCCTTTTCCCCACCGCGAAAATGTCGATGTCTGGAAGCTCCCCACGCGTAAAGGCAACGAGATCGTCGCGGTTTACATCCGATACCCTATGGCTACTTCTACGCTTCTTTATTCACATGGTAATGCTGCTGATGTTGGTCAGATGTACGAGCTCTTCGTTGAGCTTAGTATCCATTTGCGCGTTAATCTTCTTGGGTATGTCCATTTCTGCCTTGTTCTTCTTCAATTCGTGCCTTTAGAGGGCATTTCCTTATAATGGCTGAGTTTCAGGAGTTTGTTATATTGATGTTTTAGGCGAATTAGTGGCGAATTAGTGACGAATTGACCTTGCCCATTTGATCAATCTGTGATTTCAAGTCTCTGGTAGTTGAGGATTGGGATTTTGAGCTGCTTGCTGGAAATTAGATGCTTATACTTGGGTTGAAGGCTATAGTATTTGGTGAATTTTAGTGGTTGCTTTTAATTGTTGTTATTAGGCTCTGTTTTTGAGTTTTTGAAGTAGACTTGGTTTGGTTGATCTGTTAGAGTGGTGATCTATCACAGATCTAAAATTTGGAAGATGGTTCTGTAGGTGTGGACTTCGAATAATCACTCTCCTGGGATTTGTTCACCTTCTTTCTTTCTTATCTATTAGCGGTGGGCTTGAGCTCTTACACATACTACTCTTATTCTACCACAAAAGAGCTAATACGAAATCCCGTCTCACACGATCGTACGAAAACCAAACTAAACTCGAAAGTTTCAAAAATTCGTTCCCAATCTTCCTGACAAAGTGAAATGAGAAATATGAACCACAAGCCTCCGAGTTTACAGCACCATCGTGGGCTCAAGACCAGAGTGGATTAAGTGTGGTAGCTGAGTCTGTTTACTTGGTTTTTTTATGTAGACATAAAAGAAAAGGCAAACGTTTTTCGCTGTCTATTGATTTGTTTCCCTTGCAATGTTATATCTTTGCTCAATGGGACAATCTAGAGAAACTAACTGCAAAGATTAAACCAAACTTCATCTTTAAACTTATGCAGATACGATTATTCTGGATATGGGCAATCCACAGGGAAGGTAAAAGCAGATAATCGGTTCCACGCTTCAAATTTCAGTACAAGTTAATCTTCCTTCTGTCATTCATAACTTGTTTTGTGTTTATAATTCTTGTTGCAGCCAAGTGAGCACAATACTTATGCAGATATTGAGGCTGCGTACAAGTGTCTTGAGGAGAAGTATGGTGCTAAGCAAGAGGACATAATCCTTTATGGTCAATCTGTTGGAAGTGGCCCAACTTTGGACCTTGCTGCACGTTTGCCTCGACTGCGAGCGGTTGTCCTGCATAGTCCTATATTGTCAGGATTGAGAGTCATGTATCCAGTGAAGCGCACGTATTGGTTCGACATCTATAAGGTCCTATATTGTTTGTCATAACATGATCTTTCTTATCTAATATTGTGAATTCATGATGTTTTTCCCTTTGATTATCTGCAGAACATTGATAAAATACCTTATGTAAAGTGCCCTGTGCTGGTAATTCATGTAAGTTCTTTGATCTTAAAGATCTCACGTTATCAAAAAAGTTAGAGATTGTGTTTTATGCTTTGACCCGATCTGTTCGATCTTATTCTGACTGTGATTCCTTAATGTTTTCGTTTCTAGGGAACTTCTGACGATGTCGTTGATTTCTCTCACGGAAAACAGCTCTGGGAGCTGTGTCAAGAGAAATATGAACCCTTGTGGCTCAAAGGGGGAAACCACTGTGATCTTGAACTCTTCCCAGAATACATTAGGCATCTCAAGAAATTTGTATCCACAGTTGAGAGGTCACCTTCACAAAGGAAAAGTTCAAGGAAAAGCACAGACCGAATGGAGGCCCCAAGAAGGAGCACGGAATGTTTCGAGGTCCCAAGAAGAAGCACAGACAGGCGGGAGAAGCCGAGGAAAAGCGTGGAGAGACTAGATAAATCAAGACCTCAAGGATTCAAGTTTACCAACATTGAGAAGCTAGAGAAACTAAGAATCTCACTTGACCAAGTAGAGAGATCAAGGAGAAGTGTGGAATACTATGAGAAACCGAGGAGAAGCATCGACCAACAGTTTGAAAAAGCTCGAAAGAGTGTCGATTGGTTGGATAGAATCCGTGCTGGGTAGAGCTACAGATTGCATTGGTGAAGGGGAGGGGTGATTCCCTGATAAAAAGAAAGGGGTGGTGGTATACAGAGAAGAAAGTGCAGGAAACATTGGAAACAGGTACTGGGGATTCTACTAATTCTTGATTTCTGGAAAATGGGTGTTTGTTCTCACATGTTCATAGTTTTTTTACCTTCTACCTTGCTTGTTAATAGAACCAAATCATTATTGTTAATCCCCTCAAAAGTGAAGCTCTGCTATGTCTCATGAACTTCTGATATGTATTATTTAGAAGACATAATCCAAAAGAGTAGTATTTCATACAAGTTTTCATGTTATTTTGATCAATAATGGATACCAAAGCCAAAAGCAACAAAGGAAAGGGCATGAAATCTTGGGTGGTCTTAACCATAGCATCTAATGGGATCGGTGCAGCCCTTTTGAGCAGACTGCTTCAGGCCTAGCCCTCCTCCCTTCTCAAGATACTGCTGATGGTACTCTTCCGCCCTATAGAACCTCTTGGCTGCAACAATCTCTGTTACAACTTCCTTGTCTTTTAGCTCCAACTTCTTGGCTTCTTTTGATTCATGTGCTAAACGAGCTTGTGCTTCGTTGAAGTAATATATCCCAGATCGATATTGCGCCCCTACGTCCTCCCCCTAATAACCAAAACAACAGCAAACCAGAAGCCTTTTGGGTTTACAGAATCATATCAGAAACAAATTATGTGTATAGAAAGTGGAAGTTCTGCATACTTGGCGGTTGATGGAAGTGGGATCGATGCGAGACCAGAGGAGAGAGAGGAGGTTGGTGTAAGGGCAGAGTTTCGGGTCGAACACGACCCGAACAACCTCCACGTGATTGGTTGTTCCGGAGCAGACCTGTTTGTAAGTTGGATCTGGGGTGTGGCCCTGAGAGTAACCAACTTCGGTTTTGACCACGCCTGCAAGGCGCTGGAAGGCGAGCTCGACTCCCCAAAAGCAGCCGGCGCCGAACTCTGCAAACTCGTAGGCTGGATTTTCAGGGACATCGGTATCCTGGTCTAGTGCCGGGTTGCGCCCGCCAGAATCTGCACCAGAAGCCATTCCCCGCCGTTTGACTGGTTTTGTAACGTTGGTGATAGCAAAGAGAATTTATTCTATACTTTTCATTAAATAGATAAAAATAGAGACAAATATAGATTGGAGTGAGCTGTTGGAAGGGAGAAATGATTGGCTGAGATTTAAAAAATTGGCAAACAAAGCAAGTATCAATAGCTACATATTAAGAACAATGGGTGGAAATGCAATGAATCTGGACTCCCTCCATCTATGAGACAAGGATTATTGGGAGTAAGTCTCACGTTAGTTAATTTAGTGGAAGATTATGGGTTTATAAGCGGGGAATACTATATCCATTTGATTTTTGAAAAGTAAGCTTATAAACCCTATTTTATCCTAGGATTCTTTTTAGGAATATTTTCGAAGTCCAATTGGGACATATTTTGAATTATAATATTAATCAATTTTGTTACGATGGTGTATTGTCAATTAAATATTGTATACCTCTTTTCCCATTATTGCTCTTCTTCTCAAAGTTGGCCTTTCATTTTTTGCATTACATTTTCTCTCGAATAAAATAATCCATTTTTTTTTTAGATTTTTTTTTTTTTATTTTTTTTTTATTTTTATGGATAATCAGTAAGACGACAATTTCATGAAATTATGTCCAAACATTGATTATAAAGAAAAAGAAAAAAATTTGATTTATTTTAAAAATAAATAACGAAAGAAAAAAAAGGATAAATGATCTAATTTTAAATTCAACCAAATAAAAGCATGTGTTTATCCTTCTGTTCGCTATAAATTCCCCGTTTGGTTCAAATATCCACGACTGTCTTCCTACGCAGCGCTCTCTCTTCCACTCTTCCCTCTCCTCGTAGCCATGAACATTCAGCAGGTCGTTCTAAAATCAAGCTTTTTTCCCATTTTCTTGACCTTGTCAAGCAAGCCCAATATGCGTAAAGTAGCATCTCTGTGCACCATGCCCAATATTTATGCACGTATCACGCCAAGTGTTCGAGAAAATGCCTCAACCAAAACCCCCACTACCAGTCCCCCTACTTCAGCCTACATCCACCTCCCTTTTTGTCGAAAGCGCTGCCACTACTGTGACTTCCCCATTGTCGCTTTGGGATCTTCCTCCTCCCAAACCGACGACGACCCTCGAATTCGGGACTACGTGGAGTTGCTTTGTCGAGAAATTAATGCCACAAAATCAGAATTCCAAACCGACCGGCCCCTCGAAACCGTCTTCTTTGGAGGCGGCACCCCTTCTCTTGTGCCGCCGAGGCTCGTCTCAGTTATCTTAGATGTGCTGGGGTCGAAATTTGGGATGGCTAAGAATGCTGAAATCTCTATTGAAATGGACCCGGGCACTTTTGATGCGAAAAAAATGGAGGGTTTGATGAAGTTGGATGTGAACAGAGTGTCTTTGGGTGTTCAGGCGTTTCAGGAAGAGTTACTCAAGGCTTGTGGAAGGGCTCATGGAGTTGATGACGTTTATGAGGCTATTGAGATCATTAAGTCTTGTGGGCTTCAAAACTGGAGTATGGATCTCATATCTTCTCTACCTCACCAGACAACTGAGATGTGGGAAGAGAGCTTACGCCTCACTATTGAAGCACAACCAACTCATGTTTCAGTATATGATTTGCAAGTTGAAGAAGACACAAAATTTGGGATATTGTAAGTAGCAGTGTGTTGGATATGAATAATTTAGATTGTTGCTATATGTGAAATTTGAACTTGGGCATGTGCAGGTACAAGCCAGGGGAATTTCCATTGCCTTCTGATACAGATTCAGCTGGATTCTACAGAATGGCTTCAAAGGCACTCGCTGAGGGAGGTTATAGCCATTATGAGATCAGTAGTTACTGCAAGAGCGGGTTTGAGTGCAAGCACAACTCTACCTATTGGAAGAACAATCCTTTCTATGGTTTTGGTTTAGGGGCGGCTAGTTATCTCGGTAGTTTGAGGTTCTCCAGGCCGCGGAAATTGAAGGAATACACCAGTTATGTACAGAACTTAGAGAAGGGTCTTGTGGATTGCCATGGAGATAATGATGTTGATATCAAGGACATGGCCATGGATGTTGTGATGCTTTCTCTCAGAACTTCCTCAGGCCTTGATTTACAATCTTTCGGAAAAGCTTATGGTGGTCATCTTGTACATTCTCTTTGCAGGGCCTATGAACCTTACATCAAAAGTGGCCATGTGGTTTGCTTGGATGAGCAGAGGAGAGCTCTAACAGTTGATGAATGCAATGGCTTGGTATTGAGCAAAGATGATAGTTTAACGAAGCTGAGGCACATTCGACTTGGTGATCCAGATGGGTTTTTATTATCAAACGAATTGATCTCTCTTGCATTTAGAGTCATATCTCCCTGAATGTTAGAATTCCAACCTGCTTTGGCTCGTCTTTCCTGATTCCAAATTTTGTGTTCCAAGTCATATTTCCGGTATTTTAAAGAGGACTAAATGATTGCCAGTTTTTTAAGAGAGTGCAGGATCCTGCATCTGGCATGAGAATCTTGCGAATTAATCCTAGAGGAAGTTCAAGATTGCTCTCGAGACCAAAATCAATGTTCTGATTATAAAGTTGAGCTAATTGCATACCATAGAATAGATTGTTCTTCATGGGAGTTGCGGCAAAGTACGACTAAACCAGCAAGCTGGATGAGACGATCATGGATGAACCTCTGATCAGGTTGGCAGTTGGGGCTGAGTTCACTCTGAAAATTGATTCATTAAAGTCGTACTATTGCCGTTTCAAAGTTGACGCTGATACTTGGAAGTAATTGTTAGCAATATATGAAATGCCACGCAATCTTGAAAACAAGACTGACCTAGCATATGATGTTAGTGGAGAAAAAGGTCGATTCAAACAAGGGAATGATGTGGTTATTAAGGGAAAAAAAAGTTTATATTTTCATAGATTTCTAATCCCGAATACAATACATTCACACTGGTAATCAACCTCCATTTCTTCCAATTCTTTTTCTAAAATAAGAAAAAAAAAATGTAATTGAACAGAAATAGAATAGATGATGACAAAGAAAGATGCAAATGCCGGAGAACAAAAAGAACTCACTTAGTTTAATGCAAGATATGTCGGAGGTACATTTAGGTGACACCATGGCTATAGAACATTTGGCTATGATATTCTGAGCCCCAGAGTTGACGAACTTAAAAATCTAATAGTGAAGTTTGGTTGAAGGTGATACCAGTTACAAGGGTTTGGTTTTACGTCCAGCCTTTGAGATTCTTCTAAGCACTTCGATTCCGTTTCTCGATTCTCTAGAAAAGATGCCCATAAATAAAAGGGGTTACGAATCATGCAAAGATTATTCATACGAGGCATCAACAAGATAAAAGAAAGTACCTGCGGTGCAAATAGACAATGACATAGAAAATTGGTAGCAACATCAAAATCAGTATTGAAGATGCCATGTAAAAGATGCCTGGTTGCCTCTGCAGATATAAAGTAGTCAATAAGAAAGAAACATCGAATGAAACTCCATATGTGTAAGAAGAATTTTAATATGAAACTATAAACAATTCCCTTTTTTCGTTCATTCACTCTTTCTTTCTTTCTTTCTGTTTTAAAAAAAAATAATAAAATTGGACGGCTCACCAGTCCATGGCTTTCCACAAGGGAGTGACATATTTGGAGGTGAAACAAAATTTTCTTAATAAGCAGAATACCAACTTGACATATTTATTGCAAGTAATGATCAAACAACCGACAGCAAATGGCTTATGTTTAAAGGCACACCTCCGCTCCTCTAGAAAATGGCCTTTGTTTCTCAGTGCAAGAATGAGCTCCACAGAATTGATGAAGAAACAACTCTACGGAGTACCTCAGTCATCAGATTAAAAATTGTGAGCAATTCCATGAGAAACCTTTGAAAAGAACAGATATAACAACTAAAAAGGGAAAAGGAGAAGAGCTTGATGGGTGGGGAGAAGGAGAAGAAACTTACCATGAAGACGGCTTGCTGATGGTCCCTCATTAATTGGAAAACAAGTATCAGCAAGACTCTGTTAAAGAACTTAAAGAAATGAACGATGCAATACGTAAAAGAGAAGACAGGAAATTAGCAAGCATTTTGTGTACCACTAAGCAACCTCACATAAATGCTTGTTCCTAGCTGCAGCTGCAGGCTTGCATTTAGATTTACGTGACTTGATATCCATCTTTAGGTCACAATGTAAAGCCCCACATAAATCAGCTAAGCACTTCCCGTGACTCTGCATTTACTAATAGCATGGGTAAACAACAGTAATCAAACTCAAAAGCAAGCAAATAAAGAACACAGACTGAGTTCATAAAAATGCACAGGAGCTACTTGAGGTGAATAATCCAAGCTAACATACGTCTCGTGTCCAAGAATCTTCAGATGTAGGTAGACATCAGGTAAATATCTTGTGGGAAGAAAAATAAAACCATGAATATAAAGCCTAATATATGCAGATATTGAGCAGTTTTTATGGCATTAAAAACTGCTCCATGGAGCATTTTTCGGGAAGCCATGGTTTCAGAGAAATTTCCATGTCATTTTAGGTGAGAAGGATGAGTATAGATGAGATTGATTATATCATGACTTCCTTGACTCGAGAGAAATTGTTACGTTTCTCAGGAGAGATGGATGGGTGAAGTGAGATTGAAGATAGCATGACCTTCTCGGCTTCTACACGGGACTAGTTCGACTAAGCTTTCATTGGAACTACGCTACTATCCTCATACAAGCCAATCAGAGCGAATTTTTGTGAATTTTTCTTCAGAAAATATGTCATCCTCTCCTTTTCTGCACTCTTCTCTTGCTATTGTTCGTTTTCTGATCAGTTAGTTCTAGGATTACTGCAATGAGATCATTTGTTGTTAACTGATATTCAAATACTTGAGACACTCACCCACTTTTGTCATGAAAGTAAACCTTCTTATTCACAATTATTAGAGGAAGCAGCAGACACATGTTAGTAAAAAGTCAAATGCCACTGTCTGTTATAACTTGAAATCCAAGTAATTATAGATGATACTACGAGAAACCTATGCCTTATGCAATGGCCAATTCCAAATAACAGCAGATACAAGGACATGACCCAAAAATGATAACCATGATATATAATAACTTTAGGCCAACATGAGTATAGCTAAGTGGTAATTGGCATGTACTCCTCTGATAACTTTAAAGAATATACTATAATTATGAACGATGATTATAACATGAAGGAAGAACATACAACATTCAGAAGATCGTAATGTCTGTTGTCGAAATGCTTATCAAGATATTTTTCTGCACGAAAGCTTTTCCGACAGTATCCACACTGCCAATGATTTATATCAAAATGAATCTTGTGCTGTTCCTGATCTCTGAAGAGATCATTGTTTGGATGAAGCCTACACTTGGTTGAAACCTGATAATTTTCCTTCTCAATAAACGGCAGAAAATGCTGAAGTAGAAACAACAGAACGTCAATTAACATGTCTGTTTCAAACGGTAGAGTCCATAATCTTAACTGGTAAAGAAAGTTTAGTCCGTACCTCCTCAAGAATATTCCAGGCTGTCCTACTTCTTTCTCTGGAACAATGAACTTCCTCAAAATGCTCTTTGTCTTGCTCGAGAGGTCTACATAAACAAATTTAAATAGTGAAGCCAAAAGTGGCGAATAGTATGTTTGAAAAATGAGACACACAAGGCAGCAGCTACTCGCTTGCCTAGGATGAGAGACACACAAAAGATAACAATAAGATGCATTGGTTAGTGAGAGTGAGAGAGTGACAGAAAGAGAAATAGAGGAGCAAAAATGTAAAAAAAGAAAAAAAAAAAAAAAGAGAGAGAGAGAGAGAGAGAGAGAGGGAGAATGTAGAATACATTACAGTGAAACTTGAAATACAAAATTGGGCATCAACATATTTTCTTCGGAATCACATAAATTGCTATTGCAAGTCAAATGGTCGAAGAAAAGTTAATGGATTTTTAAAATTGACTCGGAACAAACACACATTTCATGGATTGGGAGTTTCGGTTGGCGGTGATGAAGAAATTTGAATGTGAAGATAAATTGCTGAAATGGATGATGGATATATTTCAGACACTGAATTTTCAATATTTCTTGGCAGCACAGGGGCTAAAACAAGGTAGCCTGTCTCCTTGTTTATACGAATAGGAAATACTCTGAGCAGCTAGACCAGTCCAGAGATGCAAAAGGACTTGTTGGAAAGTTTTTGCACTGGTTAAGAGAGAATTCTCAAAACTCAGTTTGCTGACCTTACAATCATTTGCTATGAGATAACTAAGTTTTTACTGAAATTTATGTTTAAATTAATAAATATGTTTAAGACAGCTTTAAGATTAGATCAATGTAGAGAAGTCTTCTGTATGCAATATCAATATTGTAGTGGATAGAGTAAAACTAGAAGTAGCCAACATGAAAATTTTTGTTTCTTTTAAATATATGCGTATGTGCGTGTGTATGTGCATCTTATTTGGTGAACTAATACACAGAAGATACAGTATATCAAATGAATCCAGTAACTCAGTTCGATTAATCAATACTCTCACATGTCAGCTAACTTTGGGTTTTGACCAAGCTATAACTTGAGAGAGGGAGAGAGAGTCCACTGTGATGAGGAAAAAGAGCTACCTCGTAGTTGCAGATTGCTCCTCGTCCTAAAATGAATGAAAAAGACCAAGGTAAGAAGAGTATATCCAGATAGAAGTGTAAGGATAAGAATTAGCAAAGTAAGCAAATATAAAGGGCAATGAAGAATTGTCATAGGGGAAAAACATCAGGGAAACTGGCAGCATCCATTTCACTAGTATTTCTATAGTTCCATCACAAGCAGATCGCAGTAAACAGAAGTCCAACTGTTATTTTCTATGGTCTGAGTGACAGTTAATTTGGCCAACTTATACGTGAGTGCTGACAATGGCTAATATCCCGGTTACACTACTGTAAACTGATTGGTTCAGGACCTCTTTGCATAACGTGGTTTCATATTAGCTGATAGAGTCAAATATTAAATCACAAATCAACCAATCAACTCAAGAGCTTAAGCTCATGGACAATGGAAAATTTAAATTATATCAATAGTTCAATACTCCAAGGTTGAAGATTGTTGGGAGGGAGTCCCACATTAGCTAATTTTGGGAATGATTATGGGTTTATAAGTAAGGAAGACATCTCCATTGGTATGAGCCCCTTTGGGGAAGCCCAAAGCAAAACCACGAGAGCTTATGCTCAAAATGGAAAAAATCATACCATTGTAGAGATCTCCGATTCTTGACATGGTATCGAAGTCATGCCATTAACTTAGTCATGTCAATAGAATACTCAAATATCGAACAAAGAAGTTGTGAGTCTCGAAAGTGTCGAACAAAGGGAACAAAGGGTGTACTTTGTTCGGAGGGAAGGATGGTTGGGAGGGAGTCCAATTTTAGGGAATGAGGCCTTTTGGATTGCCAAAAATTTGCTCTGTTTTGTATCGGCTGATTTGAGTCTAATTTTCAGTGGCGAAAGTGGATGCAAATCCTAAAAGGTTTAACCCACTCTAATTCCTCTGTATTTACCTATTCCTTTCTCTTTACATGTTCGTAGCTTATAACTGATTGATTCGTAGAGTTGATTAATTGTTATGCTGATATTATTGACAATTTTGTTACCCAGTTGACACAACTCTAACCGTCTAAGAGACCTATCAAATAACCTAATAGAGTACATTCAAGGAATAACTGAGTAGGAAAAGTATTTTAATAACATTTCTCAGTTGCGAAATCTTCCTCGCAAAGCTTGTTCCAGATTAAAAAATAACAAACAGAAAATTGCAATTGGTCGAGGCTATTCCAAATCCAAAAAGCTCAATCCAGGACTAGAGACGGATTAGAAAAACCTCATTGGATCGTAGTAAGAAACAGAAACGACACAAGCCATGGTTTTCGCATCAAGACCAACTCCTACGATGTATGGGTGTTTAGGTATCTATAACGACAGATTCGGTACCTGATTACTCTCTGAA